TCTATCCGGTGGTTGTTTGATGACCTCAGCCTTGTGGAACCATCGTCTCAGCAACTTTTTTATAGGCGACGTCCAGAATATTTGTATTGTGAGTAGAGCCTGGGGTTTGCGATGGAGCACTTTAAATGAATGGTCATGAAATGTTTGTAATTAAGGAATCCTTGTCGTAGATGGGATTTCTGAAAGTTATCTGTGGTTATAGTTCATTGCATTTTCTCTAGCCTCTGCGATTTGACTTTCTAATCAGAGAACCATTACTCTTTGATTAGACTAAGTCGGTTTCTTCTTGGTTTGATCAAAAGAGACGGTTAGTCACTCTACGATTTTTACAATCACTCCTAGAGTTGACCGTCTTCCTTTTATGAAATGCGAGACCAAGCTCCAAATAATGTTAATCATACTTCTTCTTAGCACTTCTTCTTATTTATTTGCCAACTAATTCATTACCAGGTAAATAAAGCATGCAAGAAAATCGTCTATCACTGCTCAAAATAACAGTAATGACTTACAGGCATGTGCTGAACAAGTCTTCAATTAAGGAATAACGAGGATTGGGACGTGTACCGTATGTTCATGGATACCTTCCAAAATTCTCAACTTTTACACATCACTTGCAAACTGTTACTCATCGTCTCCTCACAATAGAATACTCAAGTATGTATTTCCCATTTTGTTTTTTGATATCACCTGTCAACGAATTTTTTGAGGGAAAGGAGGATTGAAAGTGTGGCCGGAAGGTCACAGCGAGGAGAGAATGGCTAACACGTCATCAATAAAAAGCAATTCAGGCATACGTGGTTTTATTCAGCGGCCAGACAATCTTACCAGTTTCAGGTGTTACATGAAAGTACTAATCCCTACTCTTTCTGTACTAATATTATAAATGCAAAATTATATGCCCGAGCCTATTTTGATGAATTTTAACGTAGGGGAAAATTGGACTCTGGATAGGAAAACAAGCTACCTTTTGTTCCCAAAATAAAAATTGATGAGGTAAAAGTTACTAAGAGAGAACGATTATTCCTAAGCTGAGGATATAAATATGAGTTTTTATATAACACTTTTAAGGTTTTTGCTGGGGACCTTGAAAGTTTAATGTCGCATTCCCATGTTGGTCCAATGGTCCACAGAGGGGGAGGGGGGGTGGATGCATATTTTTTACAGCAAACCTGAAATTAAAATACTTATCCTTAAAATATATGAGCACCAGCAGGATAAATAAAATCTGTGTTAGTAGAAGAATTATTTTTAATTGGTTACAATTTAGTAAAAGCTCCCAATTTCAATATTCCCTAAAATATTTTAAGATTTTGTTAATTGATGTTTAAAGAATATAACACTGCACTTTTACAAATATTGAATCGCCTACGTCTTAAAAACTGTTAACTTCAGACAAATATGCATTAGAACCTTTTTTGCTCAGAACGACTGAAAAAGTCTACAAAAACTTTATCCGGGGCAAAAAACTCGAGTTTTTGAAATTCGTTTAAAGAATTGTTTGAGCAATTTGAGACGCAATTTTAAGTCTACAACATGCAAATTCATTGAACAGAGTTCTGTTTGAATAGAAAAAACAGCTAATAGTATTTCTCCGAATGGATGCGAAGGTTCTTCCTGGACCTAATTAAAACTATGATGCACTTGATCCCAATTTTGCCATATCCATATCCAGCTCTTATACTATATATGACTTTATTTATAAACATTCCCACACTGATCGATAGGTATCACTGTTATTTAAAATAAGGCCCCATAAATATTTACCAGATCTCGGTATGAATGTAAAACAGACACTACTATTTTTATGGCCATTTTTATGTACCCGCTCCAAGTAAATTTTTGCATTTTTGCTTTATGCAAAACAGTTCAGGCATATTTTATATGGCTTTTGGGTTCTTCGTTGCGGAATATGAATGTTCTTGTGAATAATTTTCACATTGAATATTATACAGTATGTTACCGAATATTACACAGCCGAAGAAACATAATGGAGTGTAAATGAAAACCTAGCTTTGTATATGACATATTTTTACAAATAACAAATCCTATAACAAGGAGGCCGTCTCGGTATTTCTATATTATCTGAGTTGTACATTCAAATTACTTTTGTGTTGTTGATATTTTTGATGATGTCTCGATTTTATACTTATAGGTACTTCTATGAATAACCTCCAATATTGATATTATTTCGAAACTTTTTTGTAACCCAAATGCGTTCAGTAAGTCTACAACTAAACAAAAAACAAACGAAATTAATATTCAAATGTACATGACGTGCAAATATGCAATCAAATTAGTAAACAATTAGCAAGTGACAGTATGCATCACAATGACTAATTATACGTAATAATAATTGTGATCATAACAGCAAAAAATTAATGAACAGCTTGCATGAAGTACGAGTATAAACGTTTCATCACGAAATATGGGCACAGAAATTGAAGAGCCTGAGGTTATGAATATTTTCAAACTTCACTGTTACCGAACGTCAAATTATAAAATTATATAATAATACATAATCTACAGGATAAATATAAAATTCGGAATTCTAATTTTGGTAGGTCGCTCTGGGTGTCAGGCAGAGGTCACGACTTGAATACTTCAGCATTAGTTGTCCAATAAAATTTTGCAGCTACCTACCTGCCTTCGACCCTTGACAGTATTGAGACAGTCCTCTCATTATGTATTACAAAAGCATAAAGCTGATGCTATTGCCGACACTGTGGTCAGCATAAACCAACTATGAGGGTCATAAATTTGCGGATACACTCTCTTAGGATCCTCCGGTGACATGTAAACGTAAAGATTTTTATAGAGTGGTCATCACTACATAGAAACTGAAATACCGCCCTATACAAAAATATCGACTATGGTTAAGGCTTTCCTCAATTAACGAAACCAGGATTACTGGTTGGGAAATATATTTTAAAATTTGTATGTTTTAAATCTTCTATATATTTTCGGAAATGTGAGATTGTCGACAGCTAGGTTGTCTGAAGCTGGGAAATGTTATTTACACAAAAGAGCTTCTACCCCAAAAACATTTGAGGCGGTTTCTGTAGAATATTGTTTGGCGGTTTTTGTCCAGTCAGGCTCAATCTATGATGGTATCAGATATTGATCTGTCAAGAGTTCCTAAACCATATTCATACTTGTTGAAATTTTGAAAAATTAATAGGAACACTCTCTGAACCTCATAACAGGTCGACAGAAAATCAATTCACTCATATGATCTTGAGATTCGATTCATTTTTTACAGACTTTACGTGTGTTGGTAAATATTTTAATGGGACTTGTAAAACACAGGATATCGTATGATGTGACACCATCAATGTTTTGTTTTCAATAATAGCCATTAAAATTTATTTGGACCAATCAAATTAAACATAAAAACCGTGCTAACTGGAAATATCTAAAACCGTCCATAAAAGTCGTCCTTTTATGTGCTCAAAATAATACGTTTCACAAAACGGTATTGACCCAAAAAAGTAGTTCAAAAGGGTACCTTCAAAATCTTCTCCCACAGTTCGGAGAGAATTCCAAGCCCCTTCTAGAATAGTATGATGAGCTGGTATAACGATGGTTCATGACTGCCACTGGGCAGACGGATCACTTGATTTTGTATCACAATTGAATATCTGATTTTCATGTGTTTAGCCATTTGTAAAGGGTAATCAAAGCACACTAGTACTTCTGGATTTTCTCATTAATATAGAATATCTATGGGATATGGCACGAATTCTTTGGTCAGGCCAAGTTATTTATAGTATAAGTCGAACAAAATGACATGCGTTTATATTTTGTGTACCTTAACTCTCTTTTCTGGAAGCATTTTTAGTTCATACATTATATTCATCGTTATTTTGTGTGCGATACTGCAGATAAATATGGTGTGATGCGCCCTGATGATGTGGTGAAGCTGAAGATGCTGTTTATACCGAGAAATTGTTATGCACAGAACGTGTCATAGGGTAGTGGGTATATATATATATATATTATAAACGCAAGATGTACAATTGAACTAAAGTTTTCTTAATTTATACATTACAACTGTCTACAGTGTGAAACTCAAGCCAGACCTGTGTCGAGATGATACAAATTTGTCATCCTTGGTTCCGCCCCCTGACGCTATTTTTTATAGCCAATAGATACTATCCAGCGCGTCACGAGATACTCGATGTCACCGATTCAAATTCGTCAATTGTCACGTATGGATGGTAACACTAGTGTAGCCATTACAAGCCACTGACCTTACCCGTACGACGCTGCACTAGAGTGCGTTCTTCTGTATTTCAAAACTACAAGTAAGAGCTTTGGGTCTTCAGTAAATATAGGTACTACTTTCTCCGGTACTTGATTCCGGCAAAACTTGATAACAAATATCAGCTGAATATCTAACATCATTCAAAATACCACACATCGTCAAGGAACTATAGACAGGGTCGCAATAAGAGCGAAGGCTGTGGACGGTTTTTGTTTTATGCTGAATGACAATTTTCAAATCGCTTTTATGTGATTAATTGCATTCCTCTACTGAGTATAGTGGAGATAAGTGGAAATAAACTTTCATCGGTGTTTCTTATAAATAGTTCCGAATACGGTCCTGATCTTCACCAGATTAGTTATTGTCGACTTAACGCAAAGGTGCTACTATTACTGATCAGCTGATTACCTCAATAGACGATGAAATAACGAGAAGAACACTATAGTTGCAATCTACAACACATAAATTTACATAAAAATGAAGTTGAGTTGTCTTATGCATTCTGAAGGCCCTTTTGCATTCCGTAATCAACTTCCCCGCAGGCAGCGCTTAGCGAATGTTCTGAGTTCACAAAAAAGTATCAACTTTTTCAACAAAGTTTGGACGTTTTCATGACTTTTTTCTTTCATGCCATTTTATTTCCGAAAATATCGTTTTGAAAGTTTAGAGAGGCCTTTGACGAACCTGTCAGGTATACCCTGTATTAATATTTTATTTAACCCATACATATACTTACCGAAGTCCATTGTCGCCTGATGCGATCGAAGCAAGATGGAAGAAGTAGCCTCCTCGTCAGACGTGACTTGGGGAGCTCATCGAGGCTTCCGGTTTTCAATGGAGGAAACGCACACCTGAAATCACAAGTGGTGGTATGGTTAGATGTAGATATGCCTAAGCTGAACAAGTAGACAAGTGTTGGATTATGGTACACCTTACAGTAATAACTGGGCGCGCAAGGTGCATACGTATGAGGGCGGACAAGGGGTCATTATCTTTTATATCATATTATAATTTGGAGTCATTTTTGAATATGTTTATAAGTTTTGTTGACGGAGATGGAATATTTAGTATTGTGAGACGACTGTAGAGAAATGCTGTAGTTTTTTGCGTTATCCTGGCAATGGGAGATCATTGTCCATAAGATCTTTTATAGATCCGCGGCAATTTATCTTTGTTTTATAATTTAAAAATGAATTAGTACATCACATAGTGGAACTACTTTTCTAATCTAACTTAATAACCATTGGAAATTAGCCTTTACTTTTCTGGATGTTTACAAATGATAGGCATATACTACTAGCATATCTAGGCTTTCCAAGGCAGTGAATCTACTAGTTCGGAAAAATAAATACAAATAATTTTTATGGAACATCATGGAATGTTGACAGAGATATCGAGAAATAATTGTTAGGAATTAACATGTACAGTTGTATATCTCTGTATCGGAAAGAGCTGAAAACGATGAATTTTTCAAGTACTGATACCGAAAATTGCGTAAGAAGAAAGAATATCTTAATTATCGATAAGGGTAAGCTGAACCGAGAAAACTAAATGTAGTAGTCACAATTGACCAGAAGATTTCATTAGAAATAGATAAATATACTTACAATCATCTGTGCAAACTTGTATCTTATCCTTGCGATATTTATTTCAATTTATGCATATGTTAGAATTTTTTAAATTCCTATAAAATTTGGAACTCCGGTTACATCTGCCCTTTGCAGCTACATTTCTGGTTGGGACCTGGATTACATGTATATTTAAAACCTACTCAAAAGACTCACTGTTCAGTATTTACTGGGTGCAAAATTTTAATGTTCCCTCAGGCTATACATATAAATTTTAGATTAGCTTTTACCTCTCCCCTATTGTTACTTTCTACGCCTTCAAAGTTCACAGACTTGCTCTGCTCATTATAGGTTAATAACAGCATATTAGGTACATCAAACACCGTCTTCGAGTCCACCGATCAACATCAAAAGAGAAGGGAAATACTTCAAGAATGCTGTGTCGACCTTCAGGCCTTGATGCAGCAGGAACTCAAAAATGAGAAGAAGTTGGATTTTTTTCTGGCCACTGACCACCGATTGTTCTGCTCTGAGTGCTAGGAGCGCAACGTACTTTACAAATAAAGAGAGAAGCCAGGTGTTATCAGCCCATATCATCCAAAGTTTTGCCAAGCTTAAGGATTGGACCTCTGCATATTACCTGCACGCTGTCTGACTGACTAACTTTAATAAGTAGCCCAGTATATGATGCTATATTTCTCGACGGTTTGCAAAAATTATTAAAAACTGATAGCGCACAAACGTAATTTATTGCAATTGAGACAAAGGGAAGAACCTTATGAAATGCCTCTTTGAATAACAACAATATAAAAACGCGATGCAGAACATAGTAATCAGTTCAACACACAGTGTGCAAGAAAACAACAACAATAAGTTTTCTATTACATCAAATGAAAGTTCGTCATATCTTTGTTATGATCCATATCCAGATATTTTCAATAGGCGGATGGTACAGAAACTCCAATTTTGCCGCTAAAAAGTAGTGTCGAATAATACAAAAAAGCTTCAAGTTTAATGATCAGCCGTGGTAAACGTAGTGTAAGCAAGATTCCGATTTCATGTCCAAGGTATTGTTCAATGTAATAAATTTTCATTGTCTCAATAATTTGTTTTTTTTTGTTTTATTTATTATCGGTTGAAATGAACATAGATATGTAAATGACTGTTTCGTACTGCTAGAAGTTCATTGTTGGACAACACCGTTTTGGCAATCGTGCAGATACACCGCTGCGACATGTGTCGTTTTCGCTTACATTTTCCCCTCAGTGGGCATGCACCTTAAAGGCAGTCAGCGGAATAGTTTCGACAAGCTTCTCTTCGCTTTCCTTCCCCAAAATGGGCGTGCACCTTTATAGACCTTATCACTGGCCACTTACTATTTAAAACAAGCCAATTGTTCGCAATCAGACAACGCGAAGCGCCATTTACCGCTAGAATCAAACACTGCAAATAGTGAATAGCAACCACCGGTTGAGACTGTATGGATCCTAGTCCGTAAAGCCCACTCACCACCTGGCGACGGTTCTAGCTTTGTAGTAGATGTGGTCTATTTGCCATTGAGCAAAATAGGCATGTTTTGCTTTCATTCACCCGACCAAAGACAGCCGACCATGTACTGCTGTTTCGTGCTTTTTGGCGACTAGTCAGCATGATCTAGGCTTCATCTCTCGAAAACGGTCAAAAACATAGCAAGTATACACTATCAAAAGTATGAGATCTATCGAACAGGGAATCGCAGCCACAGGTTGGGAATGTATTGATCTTCGTCCGCAAATTGGAGGCTCAGTTACCACGTGACCGCTAGCATGTTTAGTTTAAGCCAATTATTTATCCACTCCAGTTCCCAAACGAGCGTCTAACAGACAAGCTCAGTCAGTAAAACATAAAATGTAGTTGAGACTACTAATTTCTCTGGGAGTAAGCTACAAATATAAATAAAAGAAATCCAACTTCAAAGCGAACCTGGCGCTAGGCGCCTCGCTAAGGATAATATTTCCCCAAACATAATAAATACCAAGTTGCTAAATGAAGTCTATAAAGTAGCAATGGAATTCCGCACGTTTTAATACAACGCGAATATTAAAAATAGCATTGAAAAATCGTTCCACTTAACAGGAGTTTGAACTTCCTTTCCACCTCGCGTCACGGGCACGTATGATTGCGATAAAATTTGGAGAGCGTAGGTGTGAAGTGCGCTTTAATCTCAGCTTAAAAACCGAATTATTGTTCTACTTCTGGGAATGTTGATCCTTTAGACTATTCTTTGAAAAGTTTCACATATATACAATTTATAAAGTAGCAGTGTTCGAACTGTCGAACTGTTGGATGGATTTACAGTTTACACCAAACAACTGACAATGGCTTAACGAGTCGTTTCGAAGAAAATATAGTGCAAAGCGAATTGAAGGAATCGATTTGGATCATTTCGGAGGTTTCGATTCCGGTTGTCCAAACGGAGCTCTACCAGTGATTCAAACCGGGTGGTATTTGAAGGGTACGATACGCAATCCGGATCCTAATGGTACCGCTTTTTTAGTAATTATCTACAAGGTAGGAGTTTGGCGTATGTTTGGATCCATGTTAAGACGAAACAGAGAGAAAGTTGAAACAGTATTAAACTTAGTTGAAGAATATGTGAAAAAAGGTTTACTGATAAAGAAGGATGCAAAATATAAAGCGTTTCAAAACCGTCTCCAATGCAAGCACTGGTAAGGGAATTTGTATTCTACTAGTTATATAGTCGAAACTTCAAACTTTATTTGGTTCCACAGGCCTAACCGGTATTACAGTGTATGTTTCGCTGTGACTGAGATTGACTGACTGAATTAGATCCACAAGTATCCTTTGTCCTGTTGAATTTGACGCCCGCCTGAGGAATCTAGGCCAAAAACAGGATGAAGTACTGGAGCTATCAGTAAGTGTGTAGATTCTTCCGAAGGTCATAGTGCAGATCAACTCGCTATTTCTTTAGCACGTTCAGAATTAGGAGTAAGAGAGGTAAGTCAAGCAAATCAAACGATAGAAAACATTTTAATGACGACTTCCGAATAGAAATAGTGCCCCCTAGTTCGATAAGTTATGTCCCAGAATTTGTGGAAATTCATGTAGACTATAGATATTTAGAAATAAGTACAGATTTATCAAATACTTATTCGAACACAGACGATTCATAATGTGCCCAAAATAAAATATTATTGCATGGCATTTTATCAAAATTGACCGGTGCTGCAGAGCAAATATTTTCTCTTAGCGGTACCATAGACTGAAACAGCATTTAAAGTTTGTAAATTGCACATATCTCTCAGTGACCGTGCAACGGTAAAATGTACCTATCCTCAGACCGCAGGCACTGCAGATTAGGTCGTTCCTCATTTTGAGTCCTTAAGATCAAAGTCATCATCTAAATCCTAACATCGGAAGCGAACCTTTCAAAGAGTTCTTGAAAAATCAACAATCGTTCATTGTATGGTATGTTTTGGAATTACGGAAATCGGAATTAAACGGAATTGAGGACGAATCTACGGAATCGGTTCCGAGACTGGAATGGAAACCATAGAATCTAATCACCAAAAAGAACGGTTTGGTCCAGCTTTAAAGAGAAGTGCAAAAGCGGACTTGGAGGGAGCATTACAGGATCGGAAGAATAAATAGCAAGGTTTTTTTCTTTACAAATAATGAACACCAAAAGTGGTATGATTTTATAATTCTTTGTATTTCTTTCTTCCTCGGACTATATATGCTCTCTTAGAAAAGTTAAGCATCTATGACTCTCTCGGGGAATATGTCCTAGGGCACCATGTTCTCAACACAACGAGCGTTCAACATAATTCTGGTTAATTTTCTAGAAGCAATTTTTGTCACCTTCTGCCTCCTCGACACGTACAATTTGAGTCTCCTGAACGTCTTCATGATCATAACGTTGAACGTTAACTACGTAATTGGATAATAACAGTACTAAGTAACATTTGTGGGACACCGTCCCCGCATGTACATTGTCTTGTCATCTTGATGCAATCTCAGATCTGAATATGAGTGATCAGTGGCGTAGCGGTGACATATGGAACGGTCATTAGTGACCTACCGAAACTGCATTTTCAGCAGAAGCCGAAACCAAAACTTCGGCTTCTGTGTCGAAATAAGTCAGCACAAAGTGTCATCTGTTACCAGAATCAACCAGTGTAAAAGTGAAAACGACAAGATGTCTGTTGGAACTCTATCCCCGTTCGTATTAGATGCCGCTGATCTGGGGCTATAGTAGATATGGTATACTCGCTATTGAACAA